CACAAATAAATGCTTTTTTTTTTTTTTTTTTTTGTAATGCCTAATGCCATTGCATTAATCTACTGTGCATTAGTGCATTAACAGTTTTTGCATGACGTACTAATGCACACTAGAATTGGTCTAGTGGGCATTAAGCATCTCGTGTAGATGTGCCTACTGGGGGGAGTTTTGCTTTCCTCTTGTGCTGGGGAGAGAGGGAGGGACATGGCCCTCTGGATCTCTTGAGTGCTCTTTTTAACAGCCCTTGCAGTGACAGAAGACTGACAGCCCATTTTCCCCCTGCTTTACCTATGGTTGGTTATGGTGCTTTTGGTGTTTTTGGCCTTGTAGTTATGCAGCAGGATTAATTATGTAGTTATGGAATAGGTTAGAGAAATTTTTTTATGGAATGGTTTGCATAGGGATGATCCTGCCTTGAGCAGGGGATTTGACTAGGTCTCTGGAGGCCTCTTCTAATCTTACTTTTCTGTGATTCTTTGACACTTCATAGCCATCAAAAAACTCTTCTCTCCCCATTAGGAAAACTAAACAATGCTCAAAACTCATTAAGACTTAAAGTAAGTTTCCTTCTTTCTCCTAGCATGACCTACCCACCCTTCTCAGAGGTGTTAAACCACCAGGTGCCAACCTAAGTCACAAGACTGGTTTTGGTGTGTAGGGCCCAATGGTAAAACTGGTATCTCCAAAGTGTTTGCTGGGATGGATTTATAAACACTTCACTTCCAGGAGCCTTCAGTGCCAGCAGTGGGATAAATGTCAATTGTCATGGTATTTTTAGTGCATCACATTTAGTTTAAAGGAGGTGCATGTGCAGTAATCAGGAGAATTTGGAGTATAAGACTAAAACTCTAGTCTGGGCAAAATTGACTTGGAGGGTACTCTTTGGGCTTGTCTACACCACAGTGGTGATAGGTCCAGGCAAAGACAGGGCTCCAAACCCAAAAATATACCACAGAGGCTGTTCTGGGCTCATCTATCTCTGCTTGCTCTTGAACTCCTGAGAACAGGTACTAGAGATGAACCCAGAGTTGCTTCACTGGCAAGCTTCTGGATTTGGAGCAAGTAAATGGGCATGGATGGGCAAGATGTGGGTGTACTATGTTTGGCTATAGCTTCACTGGGACCTTTTTACCACTGCAGCGTAAACAAGTTTTTAACATCCCGCTTCTCCCAAGTTGTTAGAGGTTTAACAGGCAGGACCAGGAAGTGAAGGAGGATAATCTATTTCTGTGATTTGTCTTTAGGTCTGGAACAGGATAATATTGGTTACCTACTGACACAGATAATTTATTGTATTTGCTTGAATATAAGATGACCCACCCCCGATAATTACATTATATAAATAGAAAAAATATAAATTTATTCTAATTTTTCTAAGTGTAGAATCTAATTATTAAAAGATTGCCTTGAATTTGTGCCCCTCCCAGTACAGGGAAAATCAAATATAGGGGTGGTCAGGTAGCCCCCTTTCCTTCTGCCACCCCCCAAGTTATTTTCCTTGCAGCCCTTCCCCTTGTTACTATTAAGCCCTGCTCTCTCTGAGCACATGGAAGTGAAGAGCAAATTTGAAAACCCTGACCTTGAAAAAACGTAGTTGTAGCAATTAGTATGTAGTACCCATGGAATTAGTTCATCTAGAATTGATGCATTTTACCCTTTTTGAAACTGCTGCAAATTTCAGCACAGGTAC